GGGGGGTTGTTCCCCCAGACAGCCAGCCAATACTTGGTGGAATCAAAGGTCACTTGTGTGGTTGGCAAACATTGGTAAAAACTTCACACCTCATAACTGTTTTCCTAGCCTCTCTAATAATGGCAAGCGTCAATCTTACTTATCCATTGAGACCAGTGCTCACATCTCATAGGCTAAAGGACCACTGTTTGACAGATTAGAATTATAGAAAACATCGAGCTTCTCCTTTGTTTCCACCCTTAGCCCCACACATCAATGAAATAGGCACGTTCAACCAATGCCACCCCTCCCCTGTATGTAACGATTCAAGGAGCTTTTTCTCTTGGCTTGCCTCACCATCAGGGCAGCAGGAAGCGGTCAAATTGGTTTCACATCTCTGGCTACCCAGGAAAGTCTCTGAGCTGGAGTCACTTGAACGCTTTCATGAGCAATGGTGAGATTTCACGCCCACACAAACCTGATCAACTGTCTGCCCCAAACCATACCCCTTTCCCATTTCCTCACTCAGCATCGTGGAGTAGAGGTTACATACAATGAACCAAACAAGAGAAGTTTGTTTCGAAACAGGGCTGAGTGGGCAAAGCATTTTCTGTATCAGACAGATGAAATCGAAGTCGGTACTTTCCCGCCAGTTAGACAAATTTTTCAGAATTTTTGTTTTTGGCTCAATAAACACCTTGTTTGTATGCCTATTTATAAACATATTTCTTTGTGGATTTTACTGAAAAACGTTGATTAAAGGCACAATAAAAGTAAATATTCAGTTTCCAAGGACTCTCAAGCCTTGGATATTAACCAAATTTGGCTGCCATTTTCTCGTTAATTTTATCTCTGAAACCAGGCGACCTCTACCTTCTTCATTCATGAATATCTCGACTTCTATTGAAACTATAGTGTATTTTTTTCATAGAAAGATAGTCAAATGAACAAGCTTTAAGATAATACCAATAACTCTACAAGCAAAAAAATGACGAGTGCGTGATTCTACAGTGGCGTGACAAAATCTCTTTTTTCTTGTCAACTTCAACAAAAAAATCCAAGAAGAAGACTCTAACTTCACAAATATATAATATATATATAGAAAAATGTATCTCTACTCACTGTCTAATCTTGCAACATGATCGTCGACTACGCATTGTTTTGCATATGAATCCTCGATGGTGGGATCATAATCTGTGACGAAGTATGACTGGGGAAGAGAAAATGAGCCTTGAGTCATTGACATTTTACAGTAGAGACCACCAGCCACTTGCTACTTTAACAAGTATGCGCACATATCTTCCACAACCATCTTATAATTATGTACTAAGTTAAATAAACTTAATTCCATGGGAGAAGAAGTCCAGAAGGCAACTACTTTATTATAATATTATATGCAGTGGCTAACGCTGTGAACGTAGCTTGCAGGCTAAGATCACAGCGTCCTGAATGTTGTTTGCAATGTAAGAATGATCTTGCTCACTTCACCTTCTCCCACCCTTCTTCCTGCCTTGGCCTTCTTTCATTCTCCCTTGTTTCTTCAAATGACTTTTATTTTCAAATTGTCGAGCTTAGCCGGGTTCGCACACGGGAAGAGGATTGAAGTCGTGTTTCGTGCGCTGAGCGGGCAAGGCCTGGTCGACCCAGGCTGTTTTGCTGCGCCCGCCTTCGTCATCCATAAACTCTATTGCATTCAGACCACGCTGCATTATTTTTCACACTAGGCCTAGTATTCCTGTGCTGTTTCCTTGTTCACTCTGAGTTTGAGCGACCGTAGCGTTTCAGTCGTGCCTCTGTGCCAATGGCGGATGATTCAGGGTGCCGTGAACGTAGCCTGCAAACTACGTTCACGGCGCCATGAACTTAGCCACTGCGTATATTATAATATCAGTCATCTGGTACCCCCCCCCCCCCCTGATTTTCTTGTTAATTGATATTTTGCATCTTAAGTTAAAGATTTGCATAAAATTTATTCATGTTCAATGGTTTTAGAGGCCATGTATTTGGCAGCCAAAAATGTATCATGTAATGAACAGAAATGAGGGTTTGGTCCATCAAGCCAAGCAGTGCCAGAGAATACTTAGTAAAAGAGTTTATATACCTCTAAAAATTTAAAGTAAAGCTTGTGTGCTTTCAACTTTCAGTGAGAATGAGAAGGGGTGGGACGGGAAAGAAAAATCATGCGGAAATAAAACCAAAAAAACTTATGTAAAAGAAAATATAGGCCTGCCCTAGATTCTAATTTATTGGTAGGCAGCGGCTATTCGGACTCGAGTCTGAAAGAATAGCCTCCCATGGCTATTCGGTCTCAAACTCCAATGCGTGTACCTGATGTGATACGGACAGGCAATTCAACCTTGGCCCTTCCTTGGTTTCTCTACAACCTAGCCAAAATTTTCGACACAAATTAAAAAGTATTTGAGACGTTAACAGTGACAACAGTTGCAAAATCTAAAATACTAATTGTAACAGTTCAACAAACAGGGAAATGGCAACTGAGCTCAAAGAAGTGAAAAAAAAGGAAGATCAAAGTTTCAGAACAACAAAGGATCATAGTATCAATAAACCCACTTTATTTAACGATAAAGACAAAATCATGGATCAATTGGAAATTCAGTTAGAAATTAAGATGAGAAAAAAGTTAAAACCCGTCCAAAAGGAACAAAACTCAGTCATTCAAAGTAATGCGCATTGGAGTCTATATTTAGACTTGAATCCGATTAGCTGATTAGCCACTTCGATACCGGTAACCTTGGCCCTAAGTAAGTTGAGAGATTACTAGACTTACTACTTGTAGAGTTGCAGTTGTACCAGCTAGATCTAGATCTAGATCTATATATCTAGATGCTGTCAAAGTCAACGGAAGAAAAAACTCTAATTGTCTTAAATAATCATATTGGCATGTTAAAGACAGACTAACTAAGAGCAGTCTTATTAAGTATGAATTATAATTATGTAGCCTAGAACTAGAATCTAGAAGAAATCTAGATCTAGATCTAGAATCTAGTGCTTTTTTGGTAGTCAGCTTGGGGGTGGGGGTTGGGGGATGGAAACGACAAAGACCGATCGGTCCGAAAGCTGATACACTTTTCTATTAGGAGGGGAAACATCAGATGACCCACCTTTTCCTGAATATAGGAGTAAAAGTGCTAGTTCCAGCACTATGCCAAGGCCACAAAACTAAGACCTGACAATGTAACAAATAGCCTACTGAAATTGAAATAGATATCTAGGCTAACTCAAACCTCTAACCCATCCCTTTCAGTTTTCCCTCATTCCCTTGGCTTCAGTTCTAAAATCCAACTCCTTGTCCATTGTAAAATGAAGATTCAGAATTTTGGACCAATATATTAATCATTATCGTGCCATGAATAATGAATAAGAAAGGTTTATTCAATATTCGAAAAGACTAAGATTGTTTGATTGGAGTAATTCTTGACTCTTGACGGCAAAGAAAATGAGAAAGAGTGTCTTCCTTCATCGATAACTGGTCATGCTCGGAGGGGAAGGGCGTTCACAGCTTTAGTCATCACACCAAAAACACTTTCGAAAATGACATACCTGTATGAACTGGATTGTTAAGGCACTTTTACCGACACCACCGCCTCCAACAACTACCAACTTAAAACTTTGACTATAGTTGTTGCTATCGTTGGCATTCCGGGACATTTTCGCATCCTCCCAATAAAAACAACAAGGTGAAATCAATCAACAAGAAAATATTTGGAGGCTTTGTCGTTACTGACAGTTTCAATGCAATTCTTTTCACGCATGCGCAATTCATTACTTTCGTTTTTTAGTTAGGAGAATAAGCCAGATAATAACATTTTTGTAAGTTACAGAGGTACCATAAAACTGGTATCTCTTTAACTTACTTTCTGTTACTTCTAGCGTTTGACTGAACGAATTAAGTATGCAAGTTTCCTTTATTCGTACTTCAAGAGTTTGGATAAAATGGGAAGTCATAGGCAACCTCAGTTTGTTACAATGTTAATGATGGATACGGAAGAGAGAGAGGCTCTTTTTTGTAGAGAAAGTATATTTAGTATAATTTTAATCAACATGGCCGCGTTTCCATACAAAACAAATCGTAGGGCCTCTATTGAAACGTACCTTTTGAAAAGGAAGCCTCTGACGTAGCGTTCGTTGCTCTTTTGAAAGTTTTTTTTTTGGTGAGGTGACAAATAGGACTAGATTTGTTATATGCTTCCTGGTGACTGAGACAGGCAATATCAATTGCTGTTTCTGATTGAAGTTAGCTCATTGAAATTGATGAATAAAATAATATTTGAATGGATCTTCTAGATCTAGATTCTAGATCTCTAGGCTAATCTAGATTCTAATTAGATAGATACTAGATCTACTTAGACTAGATCTAGATCTAGAATTCTTGTTGAATATTGAATGTCATGGACAGTTAGTCTTAGTTTTAAGTCTTCTGTTTCTTGGAATCTCGATGACTTTTTAAAATATATATATATATAATAAGTTACGGCTTACGCAGTGGCTACGTTCACGGCGCCGTGAACGTTGGCAGTAATGGCAGGCTACGTTCACGGCGCCCTAAATGCAGTTTGCAGGTGCTGTTGAGGCTACGTTCACGGCACTAAAGCTTCTTCGTTTAGGGGGAGCGTCAACCGCTGGTTTAAGTCAGCCAGTTTTAGTCAGTGACGAGGACGAGAGTGATGTAGGCCTATATTAAATATTTTGGTCAGCTTCAAGTGTTCCATCCCTTGAGATGAAGTGGGATTCGGAAGATGGGACTGGTCATAAAATGTGTACAATAATTAATAATGACTGTATTGCACCGGGTCAGCGTGGGAACCGACTCAGAGAAATGACGGGAATCAATTATTCTTATTATAATGACTTAAACACCCTCTCTCTCTCTCTTTCTGTCTGTCTGTCTCTCTCTCTCCCCTTTCTCTTTCCTTTTCTCTTTATCCCCCCCCTCCCCTTCTCTCTATTTTTCTCTGTCTCTGTCTGTCTGTATCCTTTCTCTCCCCCCACCCCCCCTTCTCTTTTTTCTCTGTCTCTGTCTGTCTGTCTGTCTGTCTCTCCCTCCCTCTTTCTCTCCCTCCCCTCTCCCTTCTCTCTCCCTCCCTTTTTCTCTCCCCCCCCCCTCTTAGGCTCCCTCTCTCTTTCTCTCTCTCCCGCGGTCCTCTAGTCCTCTAGCCCTTCACGAAGTCCTGTCATAATAATAATAATAAAATGAAGATCATTTTTATAGAGCCTACTCCCGTGTAAACACAGCTCTATGCGCTTTACATAAATGCATGTACAAACAATTCATGCGCACACGCAAACATTCACACACTCACACACACACACACACATTCATACACACAAACATGCTTGCACACTCACACACACACATGTGCCCTAACATGCATGCCAAAGACACGCACACACACACACACACACACACACACACACACACATACACACAGACACACTCGCATGCACACACACACAAACACACGCACATACACACACATCTACTTTCTTATCACATGCGTATGCGTACACATCGTTACTAAATGAGAGCACATACAAATACATAATAAAATAATATACACAGTGCAATTCGCAAAATGCATAAATGGATACTTAGTCATTTATATAACATTGTACCGAACATAAATCTACTGTATATATGACTGCCTACAATCAATACTTACTTTGTGTTTTCAGTTTTGTTCCTGTTTCCAGCATCTGAGTCTCCAGACCTCCATTCATCCTGAATTGATGGTAGCCATGCCTTAAATACACCATGTATCGATCGTACATCAAAGGACAAGTCAAACAAAAGGTATTTTTAGTCGTGGTGTGCTGTGGCAATCTCCTAGAAAAATGTTGATGTTTTCAGCTTTAGCTAGTCAGTTGCTCTTGGAGATTCACACTGGAATTAAATTAAGTTGCTGATTTAAATCCGTGTTTCGAAGTTGAAGTCTTTTTCAATACAATGAGGTTGTACAATTTTGGGGTACTCCAATTTAGAGTACTTCTCCATCTTGACAGACCCAAGTGGGTGAAGCTTAATTAAGGAAAAGTTCTCAAACTATGTGAGATCAAGAATGAGCCTGAATACTTTATCTCATAGATGGGTATACCCACTATGGCGGGGCCCTCTTTTGGTATGAAATCTGAAATTGATATTTTCATCACAAGTTGGTAATTAAATCAGAACAAGTGAACCTATTTCGATAGTTCTTCATCTAATGAATCAATTCCTTGTAAAAGAGACCTGTTTTCGGCTATTAAAGTAATTTGATGTCGAAGTCATCGTAAAGGAATATTCAAGCCACTGCTAGCGGCTCACCGGCACAGTGGTTCCTACTGCGAAGCAATGGGAGCGGCTTGCCGGAGATAAGAAGCTAAGGAATTGAAAGAGATTGGCTGGCTGTGCAGTTGAGCATGGTGCGAACAGCTCTATCAGTGAACAGCTCTATCAGTGAACAGCTCTATCAGTGAACAGCTCTATCAGTGAACAGCTCTATCAGTGAAGACACACTTGAGCTTATTGCTAAAAAGAAAAAAAAAAGAAGAAAAAGATGTTGCTTTAGTGATTCATGTGTCATTGTTCACCAGTTGTTTTTATTTTTTATAAATAAACTGGTTTTGATACTCATAAGAAATTGAAAAGTAAATAAATTTACTGTTCTTTTGCAGCTATATTGATATTTAGACAGCACAACTACTTTGTCGTTTGATTTGCAATTTATGATTATGTAAATACATTTTTTCTTTTTTCTGTTGACTTAATGGTAATGCATAATGCCCAGCATATATCTTTTTCCTGTTTATTCACCCCCCCCCCCCCTCCCATGGGTAAAAAAAAAATTAATTGCAAAACTGACTCCCAGCTGGTTTTGAATTTTATTGAAAATTTAAGATAAAAAGACAAATTTGTAGAAGTTATTTCTGAATTTTCTTTGTTTTTGTTTCACAGACAGGTGAGGAGGAAGGAGGCAAGACTGTCGAGCCTGATGGTAACAACAGTGATGACGATGTTGACGATTCAGTCAAATCGGCCGTTAATAAAGTCTGGTCTGAAGTTGGGATACAATGTGACAAAGCTGCCCAATATGACGTGACAAACGTTGAGCCTGTGGAGTCGAACACAGCAAGTGACTGGAACATCATTCGTGTTTTCGTGTCTTCTACCTTCACCGACTTCTTCAATGAGCGGGAGGTGTTGGTGAAAAAAGTAAGTAGAAGGACATCTCCTAGCTGTTTCTAGTCAAGAATATCTCTCAGCTGTTTCTAGTCAAGGACATCTCTCAGCTGTTTCTAGTCAAGGACATCTCTCAGCTGTTTCTAGTCAAGGACATCTCTCAGCTGTTTCTAGTCAAGGACATCTCTCAGCTGTTTCTAGTCAAGAATATCTCTCAGCTGTTTCTAGTCAAGGACATCTCTCAGCTGTTTCTAGTCAAGGACATCTCTCAGCTGTTTCTAGTCAAGAATATCTCTCAGCCGTTTCTACTCAAAAACACCACCCAGCTGTTTCTACTCCAATAATTTACAATTCTAATGTCTAGTTTTACAACTGGATTAACTTCTTATCTTCATCAAGCCCTGCAAGTGGCTTGCAGTTAGAACGGTTGTGCCGGTGAGCCGCTGGATTTGAACTTTCAAAACATGACCCTGCTTATGTGGAAGGATGAAATTTTCTGCAGGGAGAAAAAAGGTTACATGCTCAACACAAATTACTACTCATGTTTGGAACGGTTGTTGCTTTGACACAGAGTCGCTGGTGCCTACAAAAGGATCTCACCATACATGTACAACAGATTAGTGGTCTGTTATATAATCTATTTCCTGAACAACAGATTTCTGGTCTGTTATATGTGAGGCAGTGTAGTGAAATCAAGTGTTCGTCAAAATAATGAAATTGAAAAAGTCGGCCTTTGTCTTCCTGTTTGTCAATTTTTAGTGAATTTGTATTTTTTAGCTAAACACCTTTTATGTTTATTAATTTAAAAATACACTGTTGTCTGGATTTTACTGAAAATTTTTATTAAAGGCACTGAAAATGTAAATTTAGAATTTCCGAGGACTCTAAAGCTTTGGAAGTCACCAAACTTTGGTGGCCATTTTTTCACAAAATGTACCTCTGAAATCAGGGGAACCCCACCTCCTTCAATCAAAAATAGCTCGACCGCTATAGAAGATGGATGGATACTTTTTTCATTGAAAACAAAACAAATGAACCAGCTTTAAGATGACAGCAACAACTCCATATGCCCAAAAACTGACGACCGCCTGATTCCACTGCTTTGCAACACAAATAGTCTATTTCGTTTACAACAGTTCTTGTTTATTGTAGTCTCTTGTCTTTTATATTGTCTATTTCCTGTACCGGTACAACAGATTTTTGGTTTGTGGTATTGTTTAATTCCTGAACTAGAGTTTTCTGGTCTGTGGTATAGTATAATTCCTGTACCCAAAATTTCTGGTCTGTTGGTCCTGTACTACAGATTTCTGGTCTGTTACAGTCTTTTCTCTTAACCCAAAGCTGTTGCACAACTTCACTTTCTGCTGTCCCCAAACCTTCTGTGTCAGGTTTTCCCAGAGTTGAGAGAATGGTGTCTTGAGAGAAGACTCAAGTTGGTGGAGTGCGACCTTCGCTGGGGAATTCCCAAGGACACCTCGACGGCTGAGACGATTCTGATCTGTATGGAGGAGATTGAGAGATGCCGAGATAAACACATGCCGCACCCTTTGTTCATTACCTTGGTTGGAGAGAGGTTTGTTATTAAGTCAAATACTTCCTCATTTAAAGGTGATGTCCGGTATCTTTTAAAAAAATGCTTTGCCTTTGGCTTACCTTAACTTATAATTCATCTCGATTTTCATAAATGATATATAATTGAAAAATTGTATTAAATAAAAAAGTCATTGTAAATGTTGAGACACAATTAGCAAGGGATTTCTGTGTGCTGTGCTCATGTCAGGAAACCCATTTAGTATCTGTGTGAGTACTAGTGTCAACTGTTGGTTGTCACATTTCAATATGTATGTATGTTTGTGTGTGTGTCTGTGTGTTTGTGTGTGTATGTGTGTGTGTGTGTGTGTGTGTGTGTGCGTATGTAGTGTGCGAGTATGTGTGTGTGTGTATTATGTGATTATGTGTTTTGGTGTGTGTGTGCGCCAGTGAGTCTGTGTGTGTGCACAAGTATGTGTGTGTGTTTGAGTGTGTGTTTTGTGTTTGTGTATGTTTTGTGTTTGTGTAAAGCGCACACTGCTTTATCTTGTTCAGGTATGGTTGGATTCCAAGCAGTGAGGAGGTGCCTGCCGAAGCAAAAGAGAAGTATGACTGGATAGACGGGACATCTATCACGTTTATGGAGATTCTGAACGGAGCTTACAGGTGACGAGGGGGGGGCGCTCTCTGTTAGTTTGTGGCTGATTTTGAACTGAGTTGTTGCAGCCGTTTTTCTGTTTTTTTGTAGAAGAAATTAATTTACGAATGCTATTTCGGCACTTATATGAGCTTATTGTGTTGCAAGTGCCGTAAAACTTTACTAAAACTAAACAAGTGTATTTGGGACTCCCGAAAAGACATAAAGGCATTCAACATCAAGCTTTCACTGACAACGCTGAAGGCAAACAAGGCAGGGGTAGGCCCTGAACAACCTACTTGGAGAGTCTGTCGCATATGTGGCACTTGATGATGATGAGGAAAGGAGTATAAAATTGGTCTTAGATATATATGGAAAAATGAATGTAGTAAACGAAATGGCTGCATTCAACGTTTGAGTTGAAGTGAGTGTAGCAGATGCTGGGAAGTAGTAGTGGGTCGTGTGTTTCTCTAACTTTGATAAGTTTTTATTATTATTTTTTTATTGTAGTAGAGGGTTTTATGACGCTCGCAACTGCATAAGGTCATATGAGTGCCAAGATAAGTTTTTGATCTTGTAGTTTTGTTTTTGACTTATATTGAATGTTTGTTGTTGTGCAAAAGTGATAGGTTTGGTGTAATCTCTGTATACTTTTCCTGGGATGGGGTTGTGTGTATGTGGGGAGGGGGGGGGGAGCTTTCATAAATTGATATAACTGGGATATAGAAGAAAACGTCAATATATCTTTCCACGCTTGTCATCTCTTTCCTCGCCTTCCGTCTTTTTCTCCAACATTTCTTGTATTGTTGATCAATTTTCTAATTTTCTAGTTTACTTTGAATGGAAATAGTGGGGAACTTTTAAAGAAAAAAGTATGAGTTATTTGACTGTTGTTTTATCTGGACAAGCTTTTATTTCTTTCATTTAATATTTCTTATCTTATTTCAGGGAGTGCAATCCAAACGCTGGCTTCTTCATGAGGTCAAAGTCTATCTGTGACGACATCCCTGAAAGCTTTCAGTCTCGATTTGTTGATTCGGAGTCATTGCCAAATTACCATCTAAAGGTTAAGCATTGCTGTCTTTCTTTCATCACAGCTGATCACCTCTGTGTCTATCAGGGCAACTGAAATTACAGAAAAATTAAATTACGGCTGAGGAGCTTCTATCTACATTGTAAAAAATTTTTGTCTTTCATTCTGTGTCCCTACAACTTGAGTTTTTTTAACTTGCACCAAAAATTGAAAAAATATAATTATTCCCGAACATTTTTCCAAAATGGTACATTTTGGGTTTTGTTTATTTTTTTATTTCATTATCACGAGCCTGGCTCCATTTAAAAAACAATGTCGCATCGTATGGCCCTGAACACTTATATTTTTTGTTGTAAACATTATTAGCGCTCATATGACCTTAGCAGTTGCGAGCGCTGTAAAACCTTATACTATACATACATACAAACATTATTATGTCTTTAAAAGTGTGCACTTGCTGAGGGAACATCAGGAAGAAGAGTTGGAGAATTCATGGGAGATCATGAGAGATCCTGCTTGATAATCATAAAATGTATACTTTTCTATACAATCTGAACATGTCTTATATCCATTTCTTTCACCCAATGTTCAGTCGCAAAATTGAAATGATATAGCCTAAATTAACAAGAAATATTTGGAGATTTTCTGAGGTACCATTCAATATGCATGACCCATGAAATCCATGAAAATAAGAAATCGTATTAGAAAAATTTCCCAAGTTTGAGTCACAGGGCTCATCAGTGTAAACTGTCAGATCATTTCTCTGATTTTATGATTCTGATAAGAACTGTTTGGCTATTTGTGCTGTTGTCATTAAAATACTTAATTCACTGTCTCTTTCTGTTTCGTTTCCCTTCTTCTTAAATAACGTTTGTCTTCAGTCGTTCTAATATTCACAAAATAACTTTTGTCTTCGGACAGCTTCAAAATAATTGTTAATTCTATTCTCTTTGAAGGTAATGAAAAAGAAAATAGCGGAAAGATTCCCGACCCAGTTGTTCCCTTACAGCTGCTCTTACAAGCAGATCTCTGACAAGTCCGGGAGAGACAGGGTGAGTGTGTAACGCTATTTTATGAGGCTTCTTCAGTTATGTAAAAATGTTGACGTTTCAGGGTTCCCACTCAACCGGGTAAATGGCAAAAGCCAGGAATTTTATTTTCAGATTCCCTTTTCCAGGAAAAAAACATGAAAATGGATGAAATGAAAGTAGATGGGAGAAAGCTGGGAAATCAAAAGGCTGCCCGTCATTACTATTTAGACGGAAACATTGTGATTTTTTTTTTTCAAATTTATGAAAAGTACACCCTTGATTCTGATTTAAAAGTTTATTTGCCATTAGGCTACCCCAGCTCACCCACAACTTCACGGTGTATGAGGAAGAAAGACAGCCAGACAATGACAACCTATGTCATCACGTCACGTGCAGCTGTCAAACTTTAACTCTCTCTGTGCCTAGAACCTTTAAAATTGTAGCCCCTCAGTGTCAATTTGCCCTTAGATAACCATTAGCTGTCATAAGAGCTAAGAGTAAAGCCAGCGTTACTTTGTGAAGATGTCGAACAGTTCCTGTACTTTTGCATTGCATTGCGGGTGACAGCCTAAAAGCAAATGAGAGAATTATTCTTTTTAAAAAGGGAACAAGTTTGTGTTTTGAAACAATCAGCTGGGGTGTGTGGCATGGTGTATATAGCGATGTACTATCAGAAACCAAAGCTGCTAATGCATTATAATTGAGGGAGGGGGTGGGGGGGTTGTTTTTGCAACATTCGTACTGACAGCAAATAACTACCCCCCTCCCCCCTTCATCTCTTTATGTTTGTTGCAATGACTTTTCTTTTGAAGTCTCAAGTAACTTTATTCATACGACTCTCCAGGTAGAACTGGTGGACATGGATGAATTTGCTGAGAAAGTTTTAAATTTCTTGAAGAATGCGATAGACCAGAGTTATCCCCCCTGTGCACAGCAAGAGTCGGTCGACTCCATCAAACAAGGTGAAGGTGGTTGTGTAATACCCGGTGCCCATTGGCAAGATTGGTTCGGGTTGGTTTGGTCATCGGGGCTATCCAGATTTTCCTCCATGGAGGGAGTAAAGCTACCAGTGTAGCACAACCCAAGTGAAACCAAAAATGACCTTCAATAACAAACGCATTTGTTTTCAAGGCTGTGAGTCGGGTGATCGGTTTGAGGCAGGGGTCTATTTATAGTGTGCACAGAAGCTGCTGGAAACCGACTCAAACCGAACCTAACCGAACCAACCCTCCAATGGGCACTGCCTATAAGAGCTGACACTCGCTGTTTGTGTGGATGGTTTAATTAACAAATCTAAAACATCTTCACATGTTTTGTTTTTATACATTTTTAGCCAAGTTGATTCGTATGGCATTACAATTACAGTTCTATTCACCCTGTTACTGCGAGTTACTGTGAGTGAATTTGTAGGGCCGTTTAATTACTGTAACATTCATCGTTTTACTGATCTTTTTTGGGGATTGCAAAGTTGATAGATCAGGATCTACGTATTTGATAGGTTAGTGCATTGATATGGCACGCATAGAAGGGGTATGGGGTTTCATTTGGTGACTTTCAAAGCTTGAGTGTCCTTCGAAACTGAAAAAAACAACAATTTTTGTGCCTTTGATCAATGTTTTTCAGCAAAATCCACACAGAAATGTGTTTTTAAATGGACATAGAAGGTACTGAACTGAAAAAAGACAATTAAAAAAAAATTACCCAACGGCCTGAGAAATACTGATTTTCTTGATTACATTTTTTTTGATGAGCGCCTGATTTCACCATGATGCCTGACAAACTGTTGTTGTGCTTGTCTTATTTTCAGAGCTGAACTTACAGCGACTTTTTGCGGTGGATAAAGCCAAAGACCTAGTGGGCAGAGAGGCGGAGTTGAAGGCGTTGCTGCAGTTTCTCTCAGAGGGATCTAGTAGTCTTATGGAGGAGTATGGTAGGTACAGAGTCTTAGTTTAGCTTTAGTAAGAGTTTTACGGTACTTGCAACACAATAAGGTCATATAAGTGCCGAAGAAAGAATAGATGTGTTATAAGAGAGTAACATACACAAAAAAGAAGGAGGGGAGATAAGGACAATAGATATTTGATAGGAAAGGAGCAAACGACACCAGAGCACCCGCCAACCACCCAAGTACAGTTACAGAGTCTTATGGAGGACTATGGTAGGTACAGAGTCAGAACTGAGCTCTTCGATCCAGTTCCTCTATGGTGGAGCACTTTAAAGTAAGATAGACAAGATAAGACAAAATGGGATAAGATAAGACAAGTTGAGATCAGATGAGATAAGATAAGATAAGGTAATAATAAGTAAAGGTAAGGTAAGATAAGATAGGATGGGGTGGGGTGGGATGCCACAAGTGCCGTGAAGCGCTTACTAGAACATAAAACAATGTATCACAACTTTGTTTGGCTTTGACATGACTTGGGTTGTGAGATTCAAATATGTGCTCACGAGGTGTGGTATGATTATCTCATAACAACTTTACGAAATTTGATGATGTTTGAATAAATATCTATACTTGCTTGTCTTTATTTTTTTATATGTGTTTTGTATTTTATGTATTGATAAATCAATTAGTTGGTTGTCTGTATTTCTTATGTATTGAGTGTATTGTACTGAACAAAATGTGAGGCAGCGTGGTGGAATCAGGCTCTCGTCAAAAATAATCAAAATGAAGAAACTTGCATTTTTCTGCAGGTTTGTGAAGTTTAATCAAATTTTTGTTTTTTGGTTCAACACCTTTCATGACCATTAAAGAACTCATTTCTGGGTGGATTTTTCTGAAAAGCGTTGATTAAAGGTACAATAAATGTAAATTTTCAGTTGCCACGGACTCTTAAGCTAAGGAAATAACTAATCTTTGGTGGCCATTTTCTCACTAATTTTACCTCTGAAAACAGGTGACCCCCACCTCCTTCATTCGCAAAAATCTCAACTTGTATTCAAGATAAATAGATATTTTTTGCATCAAAATAAAGACAAGTGAACAAGCTTTAAGATGATACCAATAACTCTACATGCTCAAAAATGGACGAGAGCCTGATTCCTCCAGGCTGCCTCACAAATGGTTATTCAACCTGCACTCCACGGTCTCTCAGTTATCTGATCCACTTTTAAAATTGTTTGGTGACCCCTGCGCTGGATGTTAGATGTGGCTTCAGTTTCTGTGTGTTCTTCCCAGGATGTTGAGAATGATTCAGAAGGCTATCAGGTCTGCTGAGGGTAATGATGTAGATTGTGAAGTGCATAGAGCTTGCTGTTGAGAGGGCATTTCCGTTATACAAATGCTATCTGTTTTTATGAACTGAATCTACTTCACATTGAACATGTTAAGAAGATGACGTTAATGGACCTCTCATTTTTTTCTCTTTCCCCAATACAGGTGGTGATAACTGTACGGTTCGTAAGTGACTTTTTGTCTTTTTCTCATTGGCCATTTCTTGGGTGGTTTTTACATGAAATTTGATGAATGTTTTGTGTTTTTTGTGGTTTAAAACAATGTTGGGAGGGGTGGAGATGGGTGGAGTTTGATCTAAACAGTACTTTGGGCATCAAGAGGACAAGGGGAAAATGGCAGTGGTTACAATTTTCAATTGTCTTTGTCTTTTTTAAATTCTATTGTTTGACTCGTTTGATTTTAACTGTCAGTGCCATTTTTATCAAATAAATAGTTGTAGCTAAGTCCTAGTGACGTATTTAAAACAGTAGAACATGGACAGAATAGAGTTGCAATCGTCTTTATGAATGTTTGAAAGAAAGGCAAGTAGTTTTCACTATTTTTCCAGTGACTAATTGTTCCTGCGCTAGCAAAGTGGCTTAAAAATGCAACTAGCCTCTAATTTTGTTTGGTGGTACTCTATCTATCTTTTTGTAAAGAAACAAAACAAAAATGAGGTGGCAGTCACAAAAGAGACATGCATGGCAAGTTTTATCTTTACTAGATGATAAATAGACAATGGCTCACTAGGTACAGCTGAAGTGAACATTTTTGTTTGTGGTCTAAATTAAGTATACTGGGATTCACAATTGAATAAATAACCAATATGGACACCAAAATCGACCTTTTCTGGCTGTTGGCTACTGCTGTTGTCAGTTCTTTCCATTTATCTCAAAGGCAGCAAAAGTCATCATCATCCTTGCCTTTCTCACCCTGCACAGGGTATAGGCCACGGACAAACACTTTCCACCTTTCTCTATCCTGGGCTAGCCTCTTGATGTTATGCCATGTCTTCCCACTTTTCTTTTCTTCTATTTCTGTGATCGGGTCAGGAGAGTCCTTTCGGCTTTGTCCGCAGTCCTTCATTCTTTGAATCATTGTTCCTGCTGATGCAGAAGCTCGTCTGTCTCCCAAGACCGAAAAATAAAAAGCCGTTTGTCCGTGTTTCTCTAACTGACTGTTTTTTACTGGGTCGGGTAGTCGGCCCTCCGCAAACGGGCACTTTTCAGGCAACCAGACCTTTGCACCTTTAGTCGCCTCTTACGACACGCAGTATCACGGCAGGTGTATTCTTTGCTCTCCCATAGTAAAACTATGCCCCCCCCCCCTGCAGGGGCAAGCAAAAGTGATATGTGCCATTTTGCTAGCGCAGTGAAGTGACAAAATGTGATGTAATGCCGCTTTCCCCTGAGATGTTGATTTGCAATACCTCCACTTCCAGGCCAGAGCTCCGAGTGGGACATCCAGGAGGGAGACAACGAGATCTGTGTGCTGGAGGCTGCCAGTGGCTGGGGGAAAACTGCCTTGATGTGTAAGCTGATTGGAGAAGCTGTTAAGGTAAGCCCTCTTAACTCTTTCACTGCTGCGAATCGTGTTTCACGGCTCGTGTTACCCCCAACACTGGACCGCTAGCCGTGTTTCATGGCTTGCTACTTCCTGCTCCAAGGCCACACCTACTTTTCTAATAATTGAATCTGAAATCTCTGGCTGAAGAATGATTGTTTTTAGCGACATGTTGGGACAGGTAATTATTTTCCCTTTATTGCCATATACAACACATGTGGCTGATATTGAAAATTGAACTAAAAGAATCTTTAATTTGTCCGACGGTCGGTAGGCAGAATCAGAAAGTAGATCACAGATAGGTCCAGTTCCAGGGGAGGAAAACCCCCCGATAATGAAAGAGTTAACTCTTTGTTTCCAGAAGGTGTTAAACCCGCTATGCCTGAGCTTTCTTTTGGTACAAATCCTAAAGGTGACACATATGCCACTGAATTAATCATTAAATCCAAACAAATAAACCTATTTTGACAGTACTCCATCTAATGAAGGAACTCACAGTAATAGAGACCGACCAATGTTATCGATATAAAGTGCTCAGAGCTTTTACTCATATGGGATAGCACACTATGTAAATGCAATCTATTGTTATCATCATTGTTATTAGAAATTTAAATCTGTCTTTTAGCTCATGATTATGTTTTCAAAAAGGTGCATCTGTGTTCTACAACAACATAAGCGCTTTGTTATCAGAAAGATGGCTTTGTTTTAAGTAAGACGTATCTTTGTATCTTTGTTTTTCTACGCAGTCTATTGTTTCTTACCAGGCATAATTTGTGTTCTGTCACACAATTGTAATGTTTTCAGAAAGGCGTATCTGTGTTCTACCTCACAATTGTAATATTTTCAGAAAGGCGTATCTGTGTTCTGTCACTCAATTGTAATATTTTCAGAAAGGCGTATCTGTGTTCTGTCACTCATTGTAATATTTTCAGAAAGGTGTATCTGTGTTCTGTCACACAATTTAATGTTTTCAGAAAGGTGTATCTGTGTTCTGTCACACAATTTAATGTTTTCAGAAAGGCGTATCTGTGTTCTACCACATCGTAGACAGCACCCCATCCAGCGGTAACCTGGAATGTCTCTTGTCTCGACTCATCGCTGCCCTCCTGCCTGAACCCACTGGTGAGGGGCGTATGTTTTTGTTAACTCTTTATCTCTGAGGAGGGGTAAACCCACAACGTTAGAGCCATCTTTTGGTGTGAAATCTAAAAGTGACAAAAACATCATGCGACCTCAGTGGTAGACATTACTCCATCTATCGATAACCTGGAATGCCTCTTGTCATATCTCCATTTTTTCTACAGTGCAAATGTGACATCATTTTAAGCTCACTCTTTGTTATGAACTGTTTTCACTGCTATTAAAAATGGAGATACGACAAGAAAGCACTGGGGTCGCCGTCACTAAATTGGTCATTAAATCAAAATAAATGAACCTATTTTGATATTCTTCATCAAATAAAAAAACTTTTTGTAAAAGTTTCCTGTTTTCGACAATTGCCAAAAAGTAATATGACGTCAAATTCAGCATAAAGAAATGTGCCCGAGTTTCTACCAGTAACACTCACCGGCACAGCTGTTCTGACTGCAGCCCACTGGGAGCAGCTAGCCAGAGATAAAGAGTTAAACAACTCGACGAAATAATAGTAATAATGAAGATCATTTCTATAGCGCCCACTCCCGTGTAAACACAACTCTAGGCACTTTACATAAATGCATGTACGAACAATATTCACGCATGCGACACACACACGCACACACACACTCATACACACACACACACAAACTCAGACATGCATACACACACAAACACGCCCGCACACACTCACGCACATATTCCATGCACACATGTGCAGACACATGGACGCCAAACACACACACACACACACACAAACACACACGCACACACACAATGAGCCAAGTTTTACATTTTGACTTTACAACACTATGGGTATCAAATGAAAGCTTTCTTGAAGCCCTGCCTGCGAGTGAGTCAGTATCAGTCTGGTTGCTTTGGTTCCAAAGTTAAAGTTGCTGGAAATTTGGGAGCCAGAAACACAAGGGGCTGAGAAATTTGAGATTTTGCCCGATATCTCAAACCAGCTGAGCGTGACAGGCAACTCTTTTTATCACGTGACTAATGCTTCTGTTCTATAACAATTTTATAAAGCTTTCTTTTACATTCTAGTTAAATCTTATAGAAACTTTCATTTAATTCTTTGATACTGTGGAAAAAAAGACTTATCTGGTCTTCCTGTCTGCCTCATGCCATATGGACTTCTGTTACTGTCATCAGACATTCTCTTTTTTAAAGTGGGTGGTTGGAGGGTGCCCCTAAAGCATGTCCTGCTTGTTTTCTTTCCTTCTGTCATTTTCTTCTGTTAGCCTGTGTGGCTTCTTTGCCTGTGCTGTGTGACCATTGTCATGTGGATGTGTTTCTCCTCTCCCAGGGTACCCTCTTGTCTTTCCTGAAAATGTGGGTAGTTGGCGGGTGCTCTTGTGTAGTTTGCTTCTTTTTTCCTATCAAACATCTATCATCCTGATCTCTCCTCCTTTTTTTTTGAGTTTGTTACTCTCCTGTAATGCTTCTAATCTTCGGCACTTATATGACCTTATTGTGTTGCAAGTGCTGTAAAACTCTGACTAAATCTAAACTTTCCAGAAGATGAGAAAAAAATTCTCACTGGAGGTGACACAACGGCCCAAGCTGAGCTACTGAAGACATCACTGGCCAGGCTTAGGGAGAGGGATGCGCGGCTGTGGATTATCATTGACGGGGTCAATCAGGTTTGTGGAAGATTGTACACCATCATCATCATCATCATCATCATCTGCAAAATAGAATATTCCTCCAGAGAAATAGAAGAGTTAGAAGAATCAAAGGTTAACACATTACACCCTAACTCGCCCGGGATCGCCCGGGAATTCCCTTACACGCTCCACCCTGACTCGCCCGGAACCGCCCGTGACGACCTAGCGTCTTTAGAAACTAAGTCTGGCCTT